GTTCCTCCCCTCCCCTCTCCCTCCGTTCCTCCCCTCCCCTCTCACTCCCACTGCCACTATCCTTACTATCAGAACTGTGCCTTCGTCTTTCTTTAGAACTGCTTGAAAACTTTTTTCTACTCTCTCTCCCACTCTCACTCGATGAGCCAGACCTTTCTCGTTTTTTCTCCTTTCTATCTCTCCTGTCTTCTCTCTTTCCACGTCTGTCGTCTTTATCCGACTCACTCTGATCATCTCTCCGTCTTCTTCTATCTCCATCTCTCTCTCTCTCATTCTGCATCGACATTTTCCTCTTGCGACCAGCACCACCGTCGTCTGAATCTGAGCGTGAGAAACTCGTTTTTCTTTGTCCTTCCTTCCTTCCGCGACTAGCTGGTGACAGACTTCTGCTGTACGATTTCCTTATATGGTCAGACAGTTTCCTCTCCTCCTTCCTGTACCTTTTGGATGAACCTTCCGTCTCCCTCCCTCCCTCCCTGTCCTTCCCTCTCTCTCTATCAGTTTCCCTCCTCCCCTCTCTGTCCCTCTCCCTCCCCTTCCCCTTGTCCCCATCCTTCCCTCCATCCCTCTCCCTCCCCTCCTCCCTCTCACAGTCGGAGGAACTGTCCCTCCCCGAATGCCTGCGTTTTTTCCTCCCCTCTCCCCCGTGAGAGCTAGACCGTTGACGAGACTTCCTCTTCCTCGACGAAACCTCTTCCTCTCCACTGCTCTGCTCCGACTCGCTGGGGCTCGAGTGTCGTTTCTTCCCTTTCTTCTTCTTATCTTTCTTTTTCTTATCCTGAAAAAAGACAAGAAAAGTATTTAGCGTTTTTATCAAAAAGCTGAAAAAAAAAGTTCATTCAAATAGTGCATAAATAATGCTGTTCAAATGTGCCTTTAAAAAAAGAAAAATTAGTTTTTTAATCTGCGGTATCGGTTGTACGCGCTCAAAAAAATATTTTGCGCAATTCAAATTTTAAAAAGTTGGGAAAAGCAAGAAAAATAGATGATGTAGGACGTACAATACAATTGTTAAAAGAATTAAGCTTTTTTCTCTCTCTCTCTGCTAGAACATTCCAACAGCTTGCCAGCGGCATATATTATGTTCCGCGTAATTTACCGATCGACGTTTTAACGATCGTATAATTGTATCACTCTTGAGAGCTTTTCAGTTTCATATCTTAATTTTAATTTTCATATTTTTACACCTTTGAAAATATACGTGGATGTTCTTTGACGTGAGTAAAAGAATAAAGATGGAAGTGAATTTTTTTTAAGTCATTAAAAAAATATAAGATAAATTAAAAGTACTTTGTGAACTTTGAGTTTGATACCTGGCATTGTATCATTCTTGTGGGCTCTTCAGTTTCATACGTTAATTTTAATTTTCATATTTTTACACTTTAAAAAATATATCAATATATATATGTTCCTTGATGTGAGTAAAGGAATAAAGATGGAAGTGAATTTTTTTTTTTTATCATTTCAAAAATATGAAATAAATTAAATGTACTTTGTGAACTTTGAGTTTGATACCTGGCATTGCATCATTCTTGTGAGCTCTTCAAAAATATAAAATATTAACTCAATCTTCAGATTTTCACGCAATTATACCATCGTTAAAGCGCGCAGCGCATTGCGCCGACCATGCACAAACAGACAGGACTTAGAGAAAGAGGTTTTCCCATGACTCTGTCTTCCCTGGTTCCCCTCAATATAAACCTGGGTTATCTTTCTTGACTCACACAACCCTGGTCCCCAACATAGGTGGGATCAGGAATTCCCATTTTTTTTCAAGATAATAATCTAATAACGTGACATAGTATTTGGGCAAAACATTCTCTCAATCCTTTTCCTTGCAGGAAATGAAGAAGATTTCTGAAAGACAGAAGTAGTTCAGCTGAAAGACTACATTGTACTTTCACTTTAGTGACCTTCCAAAGGTCCACCATCTTTTCACTTCCCTCATTCTTACAGAAAATACTAGATCAGATCTAGGGATGTCTGAGAACTCTGCAAGCCAGTGTAATTACAGTTCAGTAAACTATAGACACCTCCATCTAGTCCTCGTACATCTGTCTACAAATCACTCATTTTGTGTGTTATTTTTCTGTCACATTCTGGGAATAGAAATGTTTTCCAAAATTTAAAATAGTGGAGTTTTAACGA